ACTTATTTCCTTCTTAATCTGTCCTGAAACTTGATTATATTCTTCTGGAGTCCAGGAATGATCCAAAGTCAACTCAAATCCGCAGACAAACTGCACACTATATGTTCAGGTCTTTCCTGACATAATGCCAAGGAAACCCATGCAGCACGAATATCTTGGAGTCTCTGTTTATGTCCAATAGCCTCCCTCTGTATCACATCCAACTAAAGATAACACAATGCCACACGATGACAGCAGCTGACTAACTAGCAATTATTGGCTCGTTCATGCTGAAAATGTATTTGTCCCAGGGGAATAAGGCATCTGCATAATTAGCAAAAGCACTTACACAAAAAATAATTAGCTAGCTGAAAGCCCAAAGGGGGAAAAACTGTAATTTTTGCTTCAAGAGGCTGACTAATTATATGTCAGATAACAAAACAGAGATGAACCGAGAATCATCCAGAAATCCAATATGGATTTTAACTTTGTATTCTAGCTGTAAGGGCTGCTGGTAGCCTAGCAACAAGCAGCATACTTCAGCATGCCAAAACCTCCTTATTTAATGAAACACCTCAGATTACTATGCAAACCTCCCCCACCCCACCCCGCCTTTGATTCTTGCATTACGAAACGATAAAAACAAGACCTAGCCAAAAAAAAAATAAACAAGCAATTCAACATAAGGAAGCACTAATGGACCACAGTATATAAAGATAAGTCAATATAAAATGAATTATTTGAATTATTTTCACAGACTTCAAATTCACACTGATTAGAACAACTCATTAGATTTATTCATGAGATCAGAAAATGCCCTATTATTTTAAGCACCTTTTCTAGTAGACTAAGATTTCATTTGTGTCTTGGAAATGGTTAGTTAAGAAACCTTTAACGACTTGCAGCATACTCGCTAATCTCCAAATTACTCCTGATATACAAATAATGCTGCTGCAATTGCTTTCTTTACTTCTTTTATTCAGTGAGCTGGTAGAGGAAGCTGTTATCCCAAAGAGGAGTCTCAGAGCTAGGAGGCTAGTTTGTCATATTTCACCACTGCAGAAGCCACAGTTGCTTTCCCACCTGTCCAGTACTGCCATGCTACAGTAAGCCAGAGTCACCTTCAAGTCTTGCTGTAATGAGCACAACTCCAGTGTTCCTGGGCCAGGGCTCAGTGATATTTTAGCCAACAGCTTGCTCCTGGTTATCCAGCAGAGCAGTACAGACTCACCATAAGACCACATTTAAAAAAGAAAAAAAAAAAATTAGGCTGGATTTTTGCTAGTGAGCTGGCAAGTCACAATACAGCTTGAGTTACCCTGCCCATTCCAGAAACATGCACTAACCCCAAACAGCAGAAAGCCCTTCCCCAAGGGGTGAAGCTTGCTAGGTGTCAGCCAGGTCCATCCTGCAGCCAGGACGCACCCAACACAGGGAGCAGCTCAGGGCACCAAATCCAGCATGAGGGAGCTGACGCTGCTCCTCCCACAGTGTCATTTAACCCAGACAGGGGCTCACAGGCTGCAGGCACGTCTGCCAGTCTGCCTCCCAGAACCTCTGGGACACTCCTGTAGCCTGCACAGGGATAGAAACAGTATAGAGAGGGGCTAACATGAGCTTTTAAGACACGGTACAACTCCACCATACTGCCATACATAAGGTTAGAATCATAGAATGGTTTGGGTTGGAAGGGACCTTAAAGGCCATCGAGTTCCAACCCCCCTGCCATGGGCAGGGACACCTTTCACTAGACCAGGTTGCTCAAAGCCTCATCCAGCCTGGCCTTGAACACTTCCAGGGATGGGGCATCCACAGCTTCTCTGGGCAACCTGTTCCAGTGCCTCACCACCCTCTCCAGGAAGAACTTCTTCCTGGTATCGAATCTAAACCTCCCCACTTTCAATTTAAACCCATTTCCCCTTGTCCTGTCACTACAGGCCCTTGTAAAAAGTCCTCCCCAGCTCCCTTGTAGCCCCTTCAGGTACAGGTTAAAGCATTAGTAGCACGTTCGCACACTTGGCGTGCCGTCACAGGCAACGCCTGGCAGCATCGCTACTCCTTTTGGGTTGTAATAACAGATAGACATCCTCATAATCAACACTGGACTCTGCCAGAGTCACAGGATTAACAAGACTGAGACAGCTATTTCCGGAGAAGGGCAAATCTTTTGGACATAAAATATTTATCATCATCTTTCCCAGCGATTCTGACAGTTGCTGAAAGTGTCACCCTTGTTCAAAAGCTGCAGGAGGCGTCATGGATGCAAGCAACCTGACAAACTTAGCTTGTCTTCAGGCCATAGTAAACTTGTGACCATGGGTGAAGATAAGCCTCCTCCACTGGCCTATACAAGCTCAAAAAAGATAAACGGAAGCTGCAAAGAGCTGTTGACACATTAGATACGGTGAGGGTGTATGCGGTCTTTGTGCTGCACTTGGAAGGCAAGGAGGAAACAACGCACCAGCCTACCACACTATGGGAAACCAAACCCTCCCTCAAACACACAGAAGAGATATTAATAACTGCTGTTCTCATTATTAGCTTCACAGATGAGAACTATTCTAAAATTGACTCATGCAGCTACAGACTGTTTTCATTGTTAGGGAAGATTAACAGAGGTCCTGGCAGTGCAGTGGGACATCCCTGCCTTCCCACAGCTTGGTCTCCGACCCCGTAACACTCCTCTGTTCTCCCCAGCTGCCTTTCCCCCAGGCTACTTTTTGGCCTTAACACCCACACAGGAGCTTCAACAGAAGAGACATGTTAACACAGCCACTCCAGGGACTGCATCCAGCCGCAGCACCAGCAAGGACAGCAAGACACCAGCAGATCAGGTTAAGCAGAGTGAGGAGACAGGAGTACTTATGCCTGGAAGCCCAAAAAGCCTTTTGATGAAGTCAAGGACATGAGATAAGGTGTGTACAGTCTCAGGCACTGCATAAGCAAGAAAGTTAAATCTTCAAAACAGTAACAGAGGAAGGGTTACTAGAAGAAATAATTCTCAATGAAGCCTAAAACTAGCAGATCTAACACACATAGCTGCTTTACTTGCACTTATGGGAAAAAAGAAAAGTTCCTATAGAATCCTTTCTCAACAATTTTAAAACAGATTGTTTGCCTTCTGGGGAAGAGATGGCACTCTAAGAACAGTCAGCCAGATGAAGTCACCCCTACTGTCCCATCTTGTTCCTTTTGGTATCTTCAACGGTGCCAGCAGCCTCTCCGGTACAGTTTGGGGAACATGTGCCTCTAAAAACGATTGTGCAGCTAAAACCCATGCTGCAAATCTCAGTAAACTCTAGTTTATTGCTCTTAAGTGATGTTTAGTCTTACACACATCTCACTCACTTCATACTCAATACTCTTCTACACACATCTCACTCACTTCATACTCAATACTCTTCTATAAGTTGTGACATCTGATTTTCTACTAAGCTCACCCTCATTTGGATTAGAAGAATCTTCCGTAAACTTATCTTGTATTTAGGTAGGGGCACATTAAGCTTCAAAAATGTCTCCTCCTCCCACTAAATAAGAAACCCAACAGAATTCCACCCACAGTCGTCATCCCACCACACCATTTAAGATGACCATGTAGCAGCACGTCTCACCACAGAGCACAAGTTTGCCTCCTTGAACTCCAGACAACAGCAGACTACACAGTACAACAGTGCATCAGACCAACTTCTTTCCTGAAAACACATTTTATTCCACTACTAGCAAAACAAATCTACCTCAGCCAAGCCACGCAGAAAGCAAAAAAGTTGGATCAGCAGTAAGCTTGTTTCAGTATAAGCCACGATTTCAGAACAAACACCTGGAGGTTGTGAACCCCCAACATGTTTGCTAAGGGATTAGCTATTTACTTTCCCCCTTTTAAAAAAGTACAAGGACATTTGTTTTTCAACTGCATTTTTTTGCCACCGTAAGCTTCATTTACTTACAGCCAATATTTTCCCACATCATGGAAAAACATAGTTTTAACCCATTCCATCATAGAGGAACCCATGGTCTTCAGCATTCCCAGATGTACAACAGAGTATCACATCACATTTCAGAATAATCCAAAATAGAACTTCAGAATTTTCAAATATGTCAATGTCATTATTGCCTGCAGGGATCAAGTTTACCCTAATTTAAAAGGGGTATGGCAAAAAGAATGGTGCATAGAAGTGAAGAAGGTATTAAAAGAGCAGAGACCTCTCTGCTCTCTTGTCTTCCGAGAGCACGGTGGGGAAGACTGGGGACATCACCCTCTCCTGCTCTCAGGCTTGTGGAGGGTGAGAGCTTTATAGGAACCCACAGCACTGAACCCATGCTCGTCATCTCTGCTCTACTCAACTCCGGGCAGAAAGATTAATTCCCTCACCAAGAACTCTCTCAAAAATCTATTCCTAAAAATATGAGTGACACTCATTAAAAATACTTTCTAGCTCATAAGCTTATAGCTAAGAAAAGCAGTCTAACATTTGTTTTTAAAGTAAACAAAATACTTGTCTCAGACAAGACAGACAGAATTAAGGCTCTGATAAAGGTCTCTGATTATCAGTCATAAACATACAAGGTATGCAAACTTGGGGACTGAAAAATACAATCTCCTAAACAACATGAGCTTTAAATGGAACACTACTGAATATGTACACTCCCTGTGCTATTTAGGGCATTAAACTGAAAAAGCTTCTTCTCGTAAATTTTTCTGTTTAAACTGTTCATAAGGTAAATTAAAGATACACACAGACTTGAGAACTGAAGATGTATTTCCCTAATGAAACTCAAGAGGAAAAGGATGGCTCTAACAACACCTTCTGTTCTTGAAACCTTTGCTTCATTCCACTTCTGACACTACTAGGAAGACAGACTAACCAAACATCAATTCTATTTGCTGCAAAACCTATGTATTTCTGAAATCAACCATACTTGTTTTCCCTAACAAAATGCTTGCTCTCTGCTCACCATTTGAATACCTCACCGACTGAAAACTGCTCAAATCACCAAAAGGAGAAACGAGTAATTCTACTCACCACTTGAACTCTGGATCATGTTTCCAGATTTTTGGACCTCATCAAATTTTGTAAAAATTACATTCAACCTGTTTGAAAAGGAAAGAAACACCCAATGAACAGCTGAATTTGATTTTTAGAAGTCTTCTGATTTAAGATGTTATAGGACAAATTTGGTTGTACTCAGATCATTGGGAATACTGTCAAACACACCAGTGTGGAGGGAAGTTACTTTAAAACTTAAAAAAAACCCCAAACCACAAGATGCAACAGCTGATAAGAAAGACTGAGAAACAACTGATACTACCGAGGTGTAAGAGAGACAACTGGAAACACTGCATTACTGAAGATGTGATCTGTCTAATTGTAGATGTGTTTCCAGTTTGCTACCACTTTGCACATCTTGACTATTCACAGAATACCACAAAACACCTTGCTTAAAAACAACTGCACACAACATTTGTCTTTGGCCCTGACACTTCTTTCCCATCCATGCCATAGGCCTGGTGGAGCTGAAGATCCTTATCACATTATTCCCTCCCAGAGAGTTTATTGCTTTAAGCCACATTGTGGCAGCACATGTTTTCACTGGAGAAGAGGCTCTCTCTCTGCACACATCCCATCTCTGAAACACCCCTTTCCCTCCTCCCTCTGTGGCTGACACCACCGCCTCCTCCCTCCTCGGGCCTAACCAAGCTCCACCCTGGCAACGGAGCTTGGGGCAAGATGGAAAGCTGCTTTCTTACCACACCTGAAGTGATACAAGTGGGGAGACAGGGCTTTGGTTTTGGTGTGGGTGCTGTTTTTTGGGTTGGGTTTTTTTTTCCCCCCTTGTATGTTGTTTGAGGTTTTTTTAATAACAAACTGATGATATTGACTGTGGGGGTTTTTTCTTTATGACAGCTTTCCAAGCTGCACAAACACAGGCTCCTCTGATGTGTCCTCTCTACACATGCAGAACATACAGGAAAAATACCACATTAAATCCTAAACCAGTTAACTACTCATCTGTAATAATCTTATTGTAATATTTTACAATAAAATACTTCTATTTAAAATATTTTATTTCCAACCACACCCTGACCCAAGGAAAAGGTTCAATCATGCAGCTCCTGAAGCCTTCTAAAATAAGGAAGGGAATAAAAAGTAGCCCAAAAGTAATGAAGACATAAGGCCATTCTCAACTTACCGAGATTGGGGTAATCCTTTTTTACTGAGATCAGCCCTTACACGTTCACCAACATGTCTGTAAATCTCCACAAGGCTGTTTATTGCTGCATCTCGAACCTGAACACGAGAGATGAGAGAAATAAATCACCTTTATAATTTAAATATATAAATTCCTGCCCTACCTTGGAGAGAGAAATTTGCATATATCTCAGCAACAACAGCTGCCACTATACATGTTCTCAGAGTTCACAAAGGAGCTTCCACCCCTGCATGGCAGATATTAGCAGCATCTGCAGGCCTAATGTCACTGAAAAGGCAGCCCAGGCAGAAGATGAAAGGTTTCCTATACAGGGACACACACAGGGAGCTCAGCTGCCTTTGCCAAGCTCCACCCATTGTGCGCAACAGGTACATTTACTGGATCAAAAAAGCAAGGAGACGCACCAATAGACCTTATATTGCTAGCGGCTTATAAAACAAACTGATTTTTAATGCCATCTTACAAACTTACACTTCTGTGTTGATAACAAAATATGGAGGGAGGAGTAACCAATCACCCAAATCACCATGAATTTTGCATGTTCTCCAAACTGATGTGCAAGAAATTGCTGAGCACATTCATCCCTGCACTCAACAGAAGAGCCACCAATCCGACCGAAGTGTTAGTTCCGTACTGAAGCCCCTTCCTCCCTCAGACACAGCAGGCAGAGAAGCTGCATTGCCTGCTCTGCCTACAGAAATACCTACGGAGTGTGCACTTCTGCTTCTCAGAAGATGGCCTGGCAGCTACTCGAGCACCACACACATCTGGACACAGAATATTTTGTGGGCACAAGCTACAATCACCCATAGGTGGGAGTCAATGGGCAGGCACGCATGCCCTGTCTCCTAGCCAAAAGAATTAACACTCGGCTCACACTCATCTTGCCCCATTCTCCTGCTCCGCAGCATTCCCATTCAGCAGGTCACGGCCAGTTTCCAAACCCCTGCCTCCACTCACACCAGCCCTTGCCCCTCTTGGTGCCCATGAGCCCCGTACACCGCCAGGCAGGGCTTCTGGGCACAGCTCAGGAGGGACCCTTTGGTGTCCCCAGTTTCTGGGTCGGCAGATCCTAACCCAGCCTCACTCTCTGTGTCCAACAGCCAGGGAGGAGAGGCAGCAGCGCCTGCCTCTCGCACGCCTGCAGCTCACACTGGCGCCCAGGCCCACGGCAGCCAGGGCATGGTAAGGTGTGCTGTGCCTGCCACCATGCCCCTCCCGCCACGGCACACCACGCGGCCAAGCACGGAGACCCTCGCTGCGTGACCTGGAAGGGTGCCTGCGTGTCACGTTAACCAAAGCACAGTCCCAGAACTGGGTAATCCCCATATTGCCAAGGCAGGGAGCCCCTACTGTCATATTTCCTTTATTCTAACACAAAGCTTTAAGGCTGAATTTTATTCTTGAGAAAATAGTTAAAGTTTACATACTGTCTTCGTACCAAATGCTCACAGGGTTACACAACTGCGTTATTTGAAAAGAACAAAACCCCTCTTTCTGAAAAGGGCAGTAATGGCACAGCTTCCAGGTCCACAACAAAAGGGAAAACACCTGCGCTTGACCCGGATCCGCGTTTCTCCATCACCTCTGGCCAACAGAGGGCAGCAGTGACCCAGCATCGGGTCTCCCGGAGCTCGGCAGACGGCACAGGCAGCGCAGCAGCAGCCCAGGACTTGCCCCCGCCCCGGGACAGGCGCTGGTTAACCAGGAGCCACCCTGACAGCGATCTGTGCCCCATCGGTTTGGGCACGGGCGTCCTGGGGATGAAGGACCAGACCCAGGAGAAGGGACAAGAGTTCAGGCCCACTTGCCCCTGCAGCTGGGAACTGGGATAATGAGCTGTGCCAGGCAGATGGACGAGGCAGGGCAGAGGGAAAACACATCTCGGTGCCCTCACCAACTTTCTGATTCATTCAACACCTCACCAATAGCAGGAGCAAGGTGTCTGTCTGTGCAACAAGTCCTAAACCCAGGATCCCCTTGAAGAGTAACAACCTGCTCAGTCACAGCTCAGAGCTACGAAGGACCCTGGACATTAAACTTTCTTAGAAAGTTCTTAGGATAACAGATTAATCCTCCCGTATTGGCACAACCAGCAAAGGCAGGCTGCTTCACACTCGGGCCTGCTCTTCAGCAAGAGGAGACCCTGGCAGCCACAGGCCAACTCCCCGGATATGGACTGTATATGGTGCCTGGATATACATGGACTGAATACGGCCATATTCAAACCTCTGCAAAACCAGCCAAGGGCTCTTGTCCCGAGTCCACCAGCAGCAGCACAGCTAGCTGATTTACCAGCCAGAACGCAGAGTCCCGCTCACCCACAAGGCAATCGGCGCAACCTTTGGGCATGACTCTCGGCAGTGGCTTACCTGGCTGTTTGGATCTCCAAGTAAGTTACATATATGTGGCACTATCTTACTCAGCGTTAAACTCTGAGCTCCAGATCTGGGAATAAAGAACAGAAGAGCACCGGTGTGAATCACAGAGCAGGCTTGTATACGTAACGTAGGTCTGCAGGAGGTTCTGGCTTACGCATTGAGTGTTGCAATAAGGCAGAGGCAAATCCCTTCTCTCGTTCGGAAATTCTTGTGTTTGAATCCTCCAAGCATCCTGTCCCACACGTACTGTGGAAGACAGAAAAGAAGGTGAGGCAGGAAAAAAGGAGGGGGGATAAGAGATGGACTCTTTCTTCCAGCAGACACACACCATAACATCTCTGGAGCTTAAACATAAGCTTTACATCCATCAAAGCAGAACAGGAGATGAAGTGGAAAGACACTTTCAGAGCTGAGTTCTCTGCTGACTTCACAGTAACTCCCCACTAGCTGAAACACTACTTTTACTCACAGAAAGAAAGTATCTTCCAAAGACACAGAATAACCACTCTGACAACCACCCATCCCATCCTTCACACTCTCATGTGTATCCTTAGATCCAACAGCACTCTCAAGTGAAAAAAACATATAACAAGGCACAGGGAGATGAAATCATTTCAGACAGAGCCACAGGAGAAAATCCTCTGACTGCAAAAAGTTCTCCTTTTTAAGCAGCCAGCCACTCACACTGCAAAAGGCCGTCGAGCATACCTGAGGGTTAGCAGCTTGTTCCATGATTTTTAGCAGCAAGGTCTGATCCTGCTCCCTCACTGAGTCCTTAGAGTCTCCCAGCCTATCAAGTAAACTTGGCAGCACTGTGGAAAGAAAAGAGGAACGTCCAAATCCCACGGAAGGAAACTGTCACAGTGTCACAGCCTCCCTGCTCTCCCCGGCCCAGTGGAGGGGTCAGCCCTCCTGCCCCTCAGCAAGGTCTGAAACCACCAAGAGCCTCCCGAACGCTCTTCTGAGGAGCAAAAAGGCTTTGTGCAGAGCAGCCAGAGCAGATCCCAAGAGGACCATGGCAACATCCCCCTTCTCCCACACAGATCCCTTACCTGTGCCAATCTGGGCCTTGAAGCGATCTTGCAAGCGGGACACTAGCGCAGAAAGGATGTCAATCCCCAGGAGAACCACCTGCAAGCACAAGACAGACGGCGTTTCAGCGTGCAGCCCTTCACCCCCTGCCTCGGCGAATGCACCCACGAGGCAGGAGCACCAGCACACACCCCCCCAGGAGAGGGGCCCCTTCCCACCCCACCACCAGCACCGAATCCATCTGCTCCAGGGCTGTGCTCACTCAGGCAGCAGAGTTGCACAGACACACACGACCCTCCCTCGCATGGCTTCTGGCAGAGAAACAGAGTGGTTTACAAACAGAAAAGCCCCAAATTATTGCTCCCTGGAACATTTGCAAGCCAAAATTCACTGCCAAGAACTTCACAAAGCCAACAAATGTAATTGCCACTCAATGCTAAAATCATACGTATTTATGTACAACGTACACATACCAGACTGCGTAAAAATTTCAGCATTTTCCATAACTAACGTTTCCAATTGTAATTATTACACTCATAATTAGAAAATGGTGCGCGCTAGCAGCTGATTAATTATTCCCTTGCAGAAATTAAACCCAAGACTTTCAGGACATAACCGAAACCCGGGGAAAGGCGCCGTGTTTGAGAGCAGCTTCACAACCGGCTGCAGACCAGAGCCCCCACTGATCAGCTCTGCCTAATAACAGTACCAAAACCAACCCATCGTATAGCGAACATACGGTGTAGCTCGTAGAGTAAATACTGAGCAAGACCCTATAGATGACAGTTTTTAGCGAGGCCCTGAGGTTTGTACCCCCTGGAAGCGTCAGCCAGGCTGCTGACGGCTGTCCCGCCGCAGCCC